TGAACTTTTCACATGTGCAAAAGAATAATTCGTAGGTATTGAACTTGATGTTCGACAAAGGCGAATGATCTCATCTCAACAGGACAAGAGATTGGATCCAAGGATGCTTTCAACACTGATCGAAGTTCCTGAATAAGGCATATGTGCTTCACGCTCTCAACCACAAGCAGGTTTGACCCACATGCGAAAGTGATCGTCGTGTTGAAAATTTGGTCAACATACATGTGGCGGACACACACACACACATGAGGTGTTTGACCTCCGAGTGGTGGGGGCCTACTTCTCAGTGGTCAGTCACGATGCTCCTTGTACCAGCCCTTTGGAGCCAAGAAACATGCACACACAAGACAGATTTATTCACACCAGTTCCCTTCAGAAACTCAACCTATCCCGAACCCGTCATGACAAGGGCATCTTCTCAACCTCATGTACCACCCGAGCTACTGTCGATTTACAATACGAGGCAGTAATGGGGCCTGCCTGAAGTGGAGAAATAGTTGTTAGTCCCAACGTCTGACGCTACTTCAAATGATGCGGGCAAATTAGTGCATGTGTTATCAACCGATCCTGGAGGCCCTTGTCCTGTAGTCTGCACTCTGGAACCGCATTTCGTAGCAGCAGATTGCACTACCACTTGATGGAGACTATCTACACTTACAGTAATAATGGACTGGATCTAGATCTAGATGATAAGTGGGAGGGATGAATGCTCGACCTGTTTGTGGAAGCTCGCCCGAACGTGTGCATAATCATAAACTTCTCGCTCTCCAAAGGAGAGATACGCCGTATCCTTGTCACCGAGGCTGAAGGGGTGAAGGCCTATACAAGCTATGCGCTCCCCGAGTGCACTCAGACGAACTGGAGCGACGAGTTTTAGGTGATGATTTATTTCTTCGAGGTAATGATTTAAGTTGATCGTCTCGGATGCCAATCTTGAATGTGCCTCGGAGTGGAAGTCATGTGATGCAGCCGCATCAACTGTCATGCCGCCCCGCATCGCACCGCATCAACAGAGGAGCCGCGGAAAATAAAACTAATGACTGATCCAGAGCAGATCAAATGCCGGACGAAAGCATCATGACGAAACCATTATCTCGTAAAATGCATGGGGGCTTGCTCGGGCCAAATTGGGGTGGCGGGGCCAAAGTAGCTCTGGACATAAATCTTCCATGCCCAATCTTTATCTGTAGTGGCCACGACATAACTGCACCGTACCGCCTCGCTTCGATCCACAGGTGTCAGCCACGGATTCGTGGGATCAATAGTGCCCACCGCGGCCGCGAAGACAGTGTCAATGTACTGTACTGAACAGTCCACTGCCAACACATGGTCAAATGAAATGGGAAATCTAGTGCGCGTAGGATTCGAATGATGTGCTCTTCACGAGGGAGGGAGGGAAGGAAGGAAAAATGTGTGCAGCTGAGCCCAAGGCTGCATGCCGTGCATGTGGGTATGTGAAAGAGCGAGAACTTGTACCGTCCTGGAGGTTTCTCGTCCAAATACGATATGATAGTGCACTAAAACTAACATTGACTGTATTCGTAGCGTACTTGGGCATTTTTGGGGTACTTCGTTCGATAAATCTATGCTCGCGGCAGATAAGTCGGTTCAGAAACTTCGATACCCCTATGATGATCGTGAGTCCGCAGACCTGCCTTCAAGAATTTGCTCTGATGCTGCTGCGTCATGACCCAGAGCGTACAGTGAGTGAGGGAGTGAGGGAGTGAGTGGAGTGAGGGAGTGAGTGAATTTCGAAGAGTGTAAGATAATGTCAGACGGATTTCGTTTCTCGGCATTTCGTCACCTCCATTACGGTACTTGGGAGCTCCAATCCGGACGCCATTGGCTGTGCTAACAACAAACAGTCTCCATCGCTGGCTCTCCCCTTTGCTCTCTGGGGTCTCTGCGATCTGGTCCCGTTTGGCTTCACGTTGTTCAAAGCTCAAAAGCGCTCAGAGCACGTTGACGATGTCAAAGATGGGAGACGTTAAAAGAGAAGTCAGCCGCGGAGGACGGACCACGGTGAGCTAACTTTAGATGACGGAGTCGACAATAGAATAAACCGAAACTGCTGCGGATATGGACGGATGCGTCGAGGTTTGACTGCACGCTGTCGCTAGCGAGCGACCTTCGAGTGAGGTCCGTCAGGACGTCCGTCCGGGAAAGCATTTGGGGAGATTTGTCTGATTCGGGTCGGGGAGTATTAAGACATGGCGTACTGGAGCATGACGAGGGACGCCGAACAAGAAGACAAGAAGACAATTCCATCCTCCTCCTCCGCCCTTGTGTCAGCAGTCAATGTCCGACAACTGTTTGCGGCTTATTATAGCCGGAACAGAACCCTCTGTCGCCAGCACAAACGCCCTCCCCTCCCCCTCTCCCTTCCCTTCCCTTGCCTTGCCTTGCCAAAATGTTGGGGTGTGTCCACACGACCTTTCCCCATGGATCGATCGAGCGATGACGAAGGAACATGCGGAAAGTACTTTTCCGATCAGCAGTGCTTGCAACCTCCATGTGGCTGGAAAGAGGTCCACGGAAAGAAGCAACGGGCGGTAAATTTTTTTCTGGAACTGGCAGAAAAGGAGATGAAGAAGAGGTAACTGGAGATGAGAACGAGGTAGTCAGATTCCTCCTGTTCATTACTCTCTTCGGCCCAACGGAACCGATCGTGGACCGAGACCCAGTCAATCCCGCTTCTTCGCGGGGGCCAGCCCCTCGGACGAATCTTCTGTCGGTACTGTGGATCGTTTCCTCCATCTCTATCTCCATCCCCATGTAACTGTACACGTCCGTGATCACGGTTCCGGCCCCCAGAGAAGCAACGCTCCTCTCGGCTGACAAAGGCATCGAGCTCCACCCGGAGACTTCGATTGCGAACCGACCGACCACTATGACAGATTTGACATTCCGCATTCAGTGCGTCGTATTCCCTCAGCGAAGGGAGGGGAGGTAGTCTCGAGGGGGCAGGAGGGTGGGTTGTTGTTGTACTGTTAGCCGGCTTTGTACTTGCGGCGTATCGGTCCCTATGTTCCCCAACGGCTGCAAGCACGCAGCGCAGCGCAGTGTAAGAATGTATAATTCGAGTCGACGACCGCAGTCAAGCTCCCTCCGCTCAGATCGCAGCGTACGTGTTCTCGTCCTCTCGCGTGCTGCCGCATACGGTGCAGAACGCGGTTTTGTCATGACGACTACTGTGTAAACATTAAGAGTCGAAGGCTAGATCTCGTAACGAGGCGACTGTGCGGCCGGCGAGCGAGCGAGGGAGCGAGAGAGCAAATTGGCGAATTTACGAATGCAATGACGACCCTGGGTTCGCCTTTGCACGTTAATCAAATCTAAAGCTCGACGCGGGCCGTACACGAGATCCATAAAAAAGAAGAAATCAGATCCGCTTCCATTGGCTCCTGCGCGAGGTCATCATTCGAGCCGAGTGTTGCGTATTTTGCACTGACTGACTGCCGAGTGGGTTTGTGATTACATCAGCCTCGGAGCAACATCACCTCATCGGGCCACCGGATCTAGGTAGCTACGTGGTCAACAGTCGCCAACCACGTGGGAGCTCAGCAACCTCGCTGCCGCTGTGATTTCGTCGACCGCAGTTCGATGTCGAACCGGGACCCTTTTTCCGGGGAAAGGTCATGGTACACATGGTACTGCTGTACCGTAGCCGAGCGAAGGGCAGGCCGGGCAGGCCAGGTCAGCACATCGCTGCCATCCAGTGCTTTGACGGGATGCGTTCAGCGCAGATCTGACGACAATCCCGCGATTCCACATGGTGGGTCACTCATCGGGGCCAGCAGTACTCATCCAGCTCGGCCCTGGAGATGATCGCAGTCGTTACAATTGTATACTGCGTTGCGCTCCTTTTGTGAACGCTTTAAGCAACCGTGGTCCTTGACATCATGTGTCCGTGTGAGGAGGAGCCCTCGAGGAGTCAGCTTCTCGGAACCTCCCCATCCTAATTTCTGCCCCGCCTCGGATCTTCACGGTACTACTGTAATGGTAATGGTCTCCGCCCCTGACGGACGGACGGACGGGCTCAGAGAGGGAGCTACTGTAAGGAGCTGTAATTCCCGTCTCTCCAGTTGCTGAGCTCTTTCACTTCGTGTTCCGGTGGTGAAAAAAAAACTCAAATTTATGACTCAGATTTTGAGATGCCGAACACGTCATGGATCACGCTTTTACGAAGGATAGAGTAAAGTAAGTGAACTTTTTCCTCTCCCCGACAGATTTGCGTACATTTGCACTGCCCGTGTGCATCTAGAGGGGTGAACATTATCCTCCCGAGAACATTCGCGGTCTCGGTGGGGCTCGATAGTCCAAGCTCGACTTTGGAGTGTATGTCGAGTAGAATCAGCCGCACATCCATGCCACCAACACCGGGGCTGCTATTACTCAGAGCGACGACGACGCCAGGCAGAGCCAGATCCGATGCTCTTGCAGAGAGATATTTGGCGACACGGCTTTCCATTACTTCCCTACGGTGCGATCGTGGGCATGGGTAGCTCAGCTCTCTTTCCATGTGAAAAGGGTCGCTAGCTTAGCTGTAAGCTCACAGCGGAAGAGAGAGTGCGAGGGATTGATTCCGCAGAGGCATCGGAATCGTCGACGGGGTACTGACTGACTGACTGACTGACTCGCGAGAGTAATTTGGAACGGCCTTGATGGAGGGATGGAGGGATGGAGGGAGGGAGGGAGACAAGGTACCGAGTGTTACCTGGCAGTGCATAAGCGGCGAGAAAGCGAAGATCTGGAGTGCTCCACCATCACCATCACCATCACCCACTCCGCTCTTCAGTAACCCCCGCCCGGCCTCTCCCTCTATCTCTCGTCGCTGTGCACTTTGTCCCCGAGGAGGATTGACTAGTCGTCTCGGTCAAAAGGACCCCAAGGCGGGGGCCGGACAGGTACAAAGGCAACCACCTCGCTCCCGATCACGGCTGTCAAAAGATCAATGATTTGTCGCCCCCGGCACTGTTCGCCTGTACGTACGCGAACATGGAAAAAGTATGTAGCTCCCCGTCGTCAGTTGCCCTACCCATTCTCTATTGCCTCGTTCTGCTTCTGCTTCTGCTCCTGTTCGCAGGGAGGTGCCAGCCTCTCGCTTATAACGTCAAACCAACCAACCAACCATCCGTTTGGAGCGAGAGGTGAGGAGGTTTTAACGCGGTACATCCGGATAAAGAAGCCTCTGCGTCTGATGCGAGTGAGTGAGTGAGCGAGTGAGCGAGTGTGACAGCACGATGTCCTACAACACTCAGCGTAACAAACAGATTGAATCTGGCGACCGGAATTCGAGAAAGGCAGATGCTGCTGGGCTGTCCTCGACTAGCGAGGTACACGCAGAGCAGGTTTTCGGTCTGTCAAATTGCGACGTGTCCCGAGTCTCATATTCCTCAAGCGTCCGAGACTGGCACCTCGGCATGCAACCCAAGCATAGCTTCTAAGATCCATCACAAGGACTTTTGGACGACACATCAACCCATCAGTGCAAGGCTTCTGCGAGTAAACGCTCTACGGAGCATGTAGCCAGATTTGGGGGCAAGCACAAAGTTTTACTAGCTGTAATATTCTCCGCCTGTAAATTGGCTTGATTTTTCAAAGATTGAACTTTGATTGCTTCAATCTGATTTGTATGTGTACAAATGAAAGGCTTATTCTTGCCTTGTATTCAACTTTCCTACGAGCTTACACTCGACTATCGTCAAAGCTATAATAGAACTGTCATCCTTCCTGGCGGAAAAACAGAGGCCAAATTGTGCAGCTAGCTAAAGAATTTTGCAGAGCACACACCGAGCCGCTGTGCCTCTGGCCATAAACTGGGAGGGATTCCTCACTCAAGAGGAAATGTATAACAACAATATACTACAACTGCATTGCAGAAAGGGCCAAGTCTCAATGTCCGAGACATTCATGAAGCCATAATGTGAGGCAGACCGTGATCATTCGGTACGTACGGTAGAAACTCTTCCCAGGTCTCACGCAGAAGCTTGAGCAGCTCGCTCGCTTGCCTCTTGGTGGCGGGACGACACTCGCTTTGGATGAGCAGGAAAAGCTTCGAGAACAGCCCTGCCTCCACGGTGGCGCTCAGAAACCGCTTCTCTGGCGCATGGTGACAGACAGACCACAACACCGATACGGCTCGCTCTGTGGCTGCCTGCGACACTCTGAGCAAAGTATTTACAATTGCAGTTATGGCTTTGGAGATTTTGACCACCGCGGCCCGCCCATCGGCACACATGCACAACACCTCCAGCACAGACAGAGTTCTTTCCGTGACGCTTCTTTCGGTATCTGCCAGAAGCAGCTCGATCAGACATGGCACCGCCCCTGCCTCGATGGCCCGTAGTCTGTTCCTTCTCAACGAGCAAATTGTGAGCAGGCATGACAAACTGGCACACAGAGCTTTGGGATTCTGGTGCTCCGTCAGGAGACTCAAAAGCGCTTCCATCACGCGTTCCGTCGATCCCACTTTCAGCTTCACATCCTCGTCACCGGAACAGAGGCTCTCCAAAATGCTCGCGGCGTAGATCTGCGCATCGAGCCTGCCCTCCGAAAGGAACCAGCAGATTCTGTCCAAGACTTTGGGCTCCGCAGCTAACTGTCTAATTTGGTCGCAATTAGAGAAGGCCAACATCAGACCCAGGGCCTCCTCGCAACCATCCAAAATGTCCAGAACGCCCGGAGCTTTGACTTCAGAGCTGATGATTGAAACCAAGGCCGACACTACACCGGCATCCAGCAGTAGACGCATGTTCCTATCGCTTTCCGTGGCAAGGCCGCGCAGCAATCTGAGCGTTTCGACTTGCATAAATCCTTCGCTGATGTCCTTCACCATGACTTTCGCTTGCTGTAGCTCGACGGGCTGCTTGGGGGTCGGGATCCTCTCCACGCCCTTAGGTGCATTGGCAACACACCACTCCTGAATCAAGCGGCGCAGAGTGTGATTGGGGATGAGATCGTGGTTGTCGAGAACCTGCATGGTGGCCGGGCATGTGTTGTTCCCATCGCTCAGCCACTTCTCGATGCTGGAACGGTCGTAGCTCACACCTGTGCACAGACTCACGGGATCTCGCATCAAATCCAGAGAAATGGGGCATCTGAAGTACGGAGGGATGGAGATTTTGGCCACCTGCAGCTTCTTGGGAGACATTCTCTCCGCGAACCGATTGCCCCGGCTCAAACTATGACCAGATTCCAGCCGACTGACCTTCATCATGGTATTGTCAGACTCCTTCATCTTGACGCATGCCAAGCTTCCCAATCGTCGAGAAACGAATGTCTAACAATCTTGTATCGACGCGCAAGAAACGCAGACGCACACAGCCGATGTCAGTGCAGTCAGTACTCAGCTCGAGCTCGAGCTCGGTGCCACACGGCGACAGAAATCTCCGATGATATCTAGCTGCGAGTTGCGCCCATGCGAACAGGTCATCGGACACTCACAAGCCCCACATCGCCCATGCTCCTCCTGCTGCCACTTCTACCACTGCAAGGCGTTCATCACCGTCTCGACAATGCCCAACATTCTTCGGCTCCTAGACCCACCAGCTATTCCTCCGGCGCAGCTCAGTGATTACAATCGCGGGCACCACGATCCAATATAAGCTGGTTCGGTCGGGGTACGAGAGAGTTGTGGCCTGTGGGGCCCTGCCTGCACCCTCGACCCGTAAGGATATGGGCACACTGTAGATACGCAGCCCACCGAGATTGATGTTCGAACGCGAGTGAGGTATCGCTGGCCGGACCTCGTCTTCTCGAACGAGAGAGAGAGAGAGAGAGAGAGAGAGAGAGAGCTCTGTAGGAGCCCTGGTGGTGGTGAGCTAGAGATTTCCCTAGAGCAGCAGCAGCAGCAAAGTTTGCGGATGTGCAGTACCCAGGATACCCAAGTGGGAGAGGAGGAATAATAGTGACGAAGTCAGATGCTACAGACACAAACAAGCTCAAAAAGTGATGCGACCCCGGAGACAAAGTCTTCCGTGATCCCTAAAGAAGAGGACGCTGGAAGGAGAGGCGAAGACCCGTCGAGGGGGGCAGGGGATGGGGTGGGGTGGGATGGGATGGGATGGGATGGGATCTCGGACACCCCGGGAGAAGAGCGAGGGCCGAGGGAGGAGGACAGAAAGTGGCCTTGTGGAACGTAAACCCGACCATAGATATCCTGCCTACGTGCGTTTGTCGCAGAGCCCCGTTTGGGTTGGGGCTCTTCGACAAGGCATCCCCTTCGCGCCGTTGAAACACTGCCCCTTCCCACTTCACACCCACAACACCCCAACCCTCCATCCACCATCTGCCCTCTGCTCAGCTACGCCCATCGTCTACTTACTTGTCAGCACGATATACCTCCCGCTCCCTCTTGGCCTTCTCTGCTGCTGCTCCAGTCAAGTCAAGTCAGGTCTTCTTCATCCGTCCTCTCCGATCGGTTCTGCGACGGTAAGTAAGCCATTTACCTGCTCCCCCGGCCGAGTCGAGCTGCGAAACTACCCCAGGCCAGCCAATGGAAGCCCAGGCCCAGAAAAAGCCGGCCAGCCTGCAGAGTAGGATCTCTCCGTATGCAAGAGTCCAGTCCAGTCCACTCTTTGGGCCCTCCAACGGCATGGTCAACGACGACCAAAAAGACGAATTGTGCCAAGGGCGAGGCGACCAACCGGTGCTCATGCTCGTGTGACACAGTTGAGTGTATGTGAGAGGGTGTGCATCTCTTTTAGTGTTCTTTCAGTAATTTGTTTATTTCTCGGGTTAATTCCTCCTCGCCTCCTCCTGGGCTGACACTACTCTGCTGTTGTAGTAAATACTGGTATTATTCCCCACTTAATACCTTCGGCGATCTTCATCAATTTCAGCGCCATTTAGCCCATCCGATGCAATTTTTGACGACAGATTTGGCTTGTCAGAAAACCGGATTAGCTTGTGCATCGTAATGGTTCGACTCTACGTGGCATGTCAGTCTAATCACAAACGGTATGCAGTGTAGACAATACATGGACCGTTTTCGTTGGTCCATGGCCAGGAGTAGATCTGATACGCCATCGACCTGATCGGCTAGCATATGCAAAGTGGATTCAAAGTTGGTTAGAAACGAAGCACATATCGAAATTAAAATGCCTAATGCCCTGTGAAGGATAAATAACGAAACTGTTAAGGAGCGGCAGTCTATTTCCATGAGGTCCATCGTTGGGGTCTTCTTTTCGCCTTGTTATTATAGTGTGTCCTCTCGCTTTGCATGAGTGTTAAGGTCGTAGGACCGTATCAACACAGTGGAAGACATATCCAAGCAGTTGGATGGGACATGTAGTTGGAAGTGTCCAGATGCCGGTAGATAGGGTGTACACTCATAGGCCACTTCCACACAAACGTGTTTCACTACCTTTATGCAACCGGTGAGCCAACGAACAAGGTTTCCTCACTCATGGCTCTATACAACCCGTAGATCTTCTCTGAGGTGGCTCGTGAGTACGGTATCTTCCTTCCTCACTGATACTGGTCATCATACTTTTCCAGAGGGTATCTATCATATCTCAAGACCTGTAACCTGTTGCCCCACATGTCCTTCAGAGGGCCTACACTCGAGAGTTTAGTTTATCCTTTCACTGAAATGCTGTAGTCTCGTGAGGGAGCTAGCCATACGACCTGTGGACCTTTGCAGCACCTGATCGTAGCTGTAGCCAATAGACGTACAACGTTTGCAATACTCTGAGCAGGGCGGAGACAATCTTCATTGAGCTCATGTCTAGAATAAACACGCGTGTCCCGTAGTGTCTCGGCTAGGCGCTCAGCATGGAAGCCCCTAAAAACAACCTCGATTTGGCGTGTCTCGAATCAAGTTCTAATCTGCGCCCGTGGTTTAGCCAATGTGGCGACATCTCCACAATTTAGCACCGCATCTAGCATGTGGTGGTCGGCTCTTTCACTGAACAGGATCTCGTCTGCCATTGCCTCGGAATAACAAGAATCGAACAGGAGTTCTTTTCTTGTTGGCCCTCTTGTCGCTTACGACATAAACAGTTTGGAATTGTGCTCCCGGGAAGATTCCCATCTGGACGGTGTCGCGATCACATCATCTAACCTCGGATTTGGGAGATTTCTCAGACTCAAACGCGGCCAGTTCAGTTCTTTGCGGGGTACAGCAGACAAGGACGTCTGATCTAGTTGTCTGCTGCAAAGCAGGAAAAAATAAGTGAGGAACAGCGACAAGCTGTCCACAGCATTCGAGGAAAGAAATGGCGAAGATCAACTTAGAACTCTCCTAAAGCAAAACACGGTACAGAAAGTATCCATGCATAATCAAAGCTCTTGAACTAGATGTTCATTACGGAGCATTCGTTCTTTGACATCAACTGGTAAAAAGTGGTAAAAAGTGGTAAATAAATTCACGATGAATTTCAATGAACTTTCAAGTCCATGCGTGCGGAATTAGTATTAATTCACGCTTGCTTGTCAAGGTTTACAGAAATCAGTATAGTTTGCCTTTTCACATTTTCACAATTCTCCACTTTGCGTAGCATTTTTTGACTTTCGATAGTGAGAACTGGGATGAGAAACGTTTTGCACATTGGGAAGGAGCGGATATGCAAACATCAACTGAGTGTACGTTTAGGGTCATCCGTTAATGATCGGATGCCATTTCGGATAGTATAATGAAAAGCTGACAAGCGTACGTAAAGTAAATGATGATATGATAATAGAACTTTCAAACGTAGGTATGAAACTACGTACAGAAGATAATGCAGGTCATCTGTATAATGAATCATGACGGTACCCTTTCAGTTGCTCGTGTGCAGGGCGAGCGCGAGGGAGACCACCCGCCGCAAAAATGAAAGCATCCCACTCAAGCCTCGCACCATTGACCCTCGAAATAAAAACATTGTTTCCACTATGAACGTTCGCCTAATGTATTGTGTTGCATGCTTTCTACGAGTCTATCTTCGTTATCTCTCTTCCAACCATGGATGCGAGCTCACCCGTGTTCTTGATGGTATGGGCGATATACTAATCATATACAGTCTTGAATTTAGTACTTATCTATTCCAAGAAATATACTTAGCTTTCATGTGTTAGATAGAGTACTTTCCATCGTGATGACACTGGAGGCTAGTTCTACGGTAGCCATTAGAAGTTTACTCACGGCTTGGGGCTTCTTATACTTTGTGCTATATAACTTTGTCCTTTTTTCCCTCGAGGACTTTCAGTATGTTCTTCAAGTATGTATTGGCGCAGATAGAATGGACAGAAATTCAACAGCCATATAAGAATAAAATCACCCTGTTGGTTTTTCCATTTTGCTATCGGACCGGTTGACTTATCAATGAGTTTTCTATCTCCTCAATCGCCTTTATTCTCCGTAATCATGTTACTAGATCTAATATGGAATGCTATAAAACAACCTTAACCCTTTGTCTCAGTTAGTGACACTTTTTGGAATTTGTATGTTAAACAAAAACATATAATTCCGTAAAAGTTATTACCGCAAGTCTAATTACTTCCAATTATCCAAATGCCTGTATATTTACTTCCTAAGTATCGGGGTATTCTGAAAAGTACGGGATTCACTTGCGTATTATTTTTTGGATTATCTGTACCAGTAAGTTATAGTTATAAGTTTGATAGATAATTTTCTTTCAAAAGAATTCTCTTGCATTTCCCAAATATCGCGCTCAATACCAATCTTGAAGTTTATAGAATGTGGATCAACGACCTTATCCGGCCATTACAAATGAACATCTTGCCAACAATAAGTTTTTCTTCGTATGTTCACACAATTCCAAGTTTATCGTTCCAAATCTGAAGAGTAGCTCACAACTTCAGTTTCACTAACTTAACACTCACAATTCCATGGCTGTAAATAAAGCACATGGAGTACGAGCGGGGAAGCTTTTCCAAACTGCACTTTATAGGTGCACGGGATAAGGAATACACACATGAACTCACCCACCGCGACCAATCAACAAGCTTGGATATATATATGCATTAATTTCAACCTGAAATTTTACACTTATGGTTGGAAGTAACATTTGAATAGCTAAGTGCATATATATGTTCTCTGTGGCTCATGATTCAGTTCGGATGTAAGCGACAGAAAATAAATTGGAAACTTGTATGTAACACATCTCATGCTAGAAACAATCAATGGTGGATATGTCCATCATTTTAAATTACTAGATTTTGCTACTCGCGATACTCCATGTTGATTTGATTGTCACTTAATAGTTAGTGTGATGACAACCCGATTGTGTAAGGTAGTCTCCCATTTAAGTACACACATTGAACCCTAAATTTCAATGCGTACTTAATCGGGAGTTATGTTAACATTTCAGTTTCAGATTTTTTGTGTAGAGTTGAAGAAATTGAATACCAAGCGCCTAAATAAGTCCCAACGATGTGAGATCATTTCAAAACTGAGAAAGTAGAATACTCCTAGCTAACGCGCTTTAGTGCGTGAGTATGAATTAGCAAAGCTGCTGTGAAAAAAATATGGAAGAAACGAGAAATCATTCTCAAAAGATCAGCTTCGATCGGACGATTTTCTGAACTTGAAGTTAAGTTGCACATATGGATTGACAACATGCATCGTGCCAAGCTTCCTGTATCGCCATCTCTTGCAATTGCAAAGGCAAAAGATATCGCATCTACATTATCAATTTTATATTCAGATTTTAAGGTTTCATGGCTTGATCGTTTCAGTACACGTCGATGTCTATAGAAAATGATTCTGCACGGAAAAGGCGCAGAGGTTGACAAGAATGATCCTAGTTTACTATTTGCATAGAAAGAATTATCATTTATCATCGTTGAGTACAATCGTGAGAACGTGTACAACATGGACGAGATGTATTGAGTTTTTGTTTACTTTCCGGATATTCAATTCTTCTGCCAAGCGTACATCTCAAGCACGAGAGTTTAAAAAAAATCAAAAGATCATTTTTCTTTGATGGTTTGTGCGAATGCTTCTAGATCACATAAAATTCCTTGCGTAATGATTGAAAAGCCAAAGAAACCAGCTTGTGTCAAAAATCAACACAAGCCAATTCCTTATTTTAATCAAGCAAAGGCTGGGATGGAGGTTAAAATCTACTGGAGATGGTTCAACAAAATCTTTGTTCCAGAAATCAAGAAACGAACATGACGTCATGTTCTTTTACTGATGAATAATGCGCCATGACACTTCGATGCTTTTAAACGTGACAACATCAATGTGGTATTTTTTCATCCGAATTGTACCAGTTGAAAACAACCTTGTGACATGGAGATTATTGCTGCTTTTAAAAAACAATATATATATTTATATCTCAAGAATATCCTTGAATTCTACGAGCTTGATCATGAGTTGAAGGAGCGGAAAAGAGAATTGGGAAAAAAATTACGATGAGGTGCAGCAAGAGTTTTTTTACAAAAATCCAACACATATGTTGGACGTTGCAAGCTATGTGAAAGAAAGCTTGGGATTCAATTCTATAAAAAATGCATTTTGTGGTGTAGAGCTCATGAATTTGGAACCGAAACCAGGGATTGAAAGCGACATTAGTTTGATTATTGCTGAGCTAGTTGAAACAATTAACAACTTAAATTTATCAATTGATCAATCATATTTGAAAAATTTGTTCACCTTGACGACGAAAGCAATGAAAAATATGTCGCAGCACTACTAGAAGACATCAAGG